CTGCTACCACAGTGTGATTGCAGGAGTTGCTGAGTTTTGGGTTTTATGTTTTAAATTAGCAAGAGAAGCCAAAGCCACACTGCTCCCAGCTGCGGTTAGAGATCAGTGGGAAGCGGAAACCAAGCAGTGCATGGCCACCATGGCCTCAGGAGCACAAGAAAACCAGGGTGTTAGAGACTTACAGGAAATTGCGTTGCTAGAGGACACGTAAGCCGGAGCCCAGGCCAAGCATGCCAAAAGCAAGCCTTGGAGCCAGCCATGAGCTGAGCTCCCAGCCGGGACCTCCATCGCGACTGGAGAAGGCTGCATTTATTCTGCTTGGTGGCAGCAAATCTGAATGACCTTTACAGCTGCTTCTCATCTCTCCAGCTGGTTCTCTGCTCTGTCTCTGTAGCTCAATTTTGCCATCTGCTGTCACGTCTGCGGCAACACGTCCCATTTCCTCTTTCTACCAGGCTAAAATTTTCCACTTTTTCATGCATTCATCTCACACTGTGCGGTTATCTCTGTTCTTTCCCCAAGTCCCATGATGCTATTTATTCTTATTTCTAATTTCCTATGTACTCAGCCACATTCTTCCCTTCTGCTTGCTCTTTCTTAAGCTCCAATTAGATTCCACCTTTGGAACCCAGAGATTTATTTATATTAACCTTAAAAAATGCCTAGAAAAGCACATTAAGGCTAAGAAACAAACCTGGAAACATAATGAAATGTGCTGCTGAGATGGAAAGGGACCATCAGAGCAGTCAGCTCCAATAAAGTCTATTAAGAGAGGTCTCTTATTAATCTCAAAATGATATTTAACTCATTCCTCTCGTTTCTCTTTAAAGGATTTGTATTCCTAACTCAGCGCTTGCCTTTTTTTCAGTATTTCCTCCTGTTTTCTCATTAGCCAACCCCATGTCCCAGTATATTCAGATCTCCCTTTTTAATTGCTTTTTTGTACCTCCTCCATACTAATCGGGTAGTTCAGTCATTATCTCTTCACGTCAGACCTCCTTTACCCGATTTAATCGGTCATTTTGATACAGACAATTGTCCACAAAGTACTGGGATCCAGTGAAAATTATTACTTGCACCAAAAGATAAATCCTTCATTAATTAACCACCTTGCTCCATGGAGCAGAGCCAGACTCCCCAGATATAACACCATTTAGGCTTGACATGGACTCTAGACAAATTAAAACATGCTTCACTCTAGCCACAGGCTCCCAGTGCAAGCCCATAAACGCTGCAATAACTCCAGCTCAGAGCACAGGGGAGAAATGTTAAACCTGAATGATTTCAGGTCTTAGTGGTTGGCAGTTTGAGAGGTGGTGGGAGGCAAGGTCTGGGGGGACTGGAGTTTTGGGGAAATGCACGGCAGTTTTAAAGCAAATGGTTTTGCTTGTTGGCAGGTCTCTGGGAGGTACGGGAGGCCAGGGTGAAGGTGCACGTGGGCAGACTTTGCAGGCAGACCTGCTTCAGAGAGTTCAATGGGCAGCAACAAATTGTAGCAAAGCAACTCTCGAGGAAATCTGCACCCCACAACACAACAGCGTTAGCCTCGCAGCACTGCCGGGGGCCAGGCTGCCTTTTGCCAAAGTTTTCCCAGTCTGAAGCACTGTCCCCTGCAGGGCTTTGCAACTTATACCCTGTGTGTCATCTTAAGCTGCTTACCTGAGCATTTTCTTGGCTGCAGTGCTTTATGTTTACTCAAGTGCACTTCTTTGCCTTCCAAGGTAAAAGTCTTAAAAATAAAGACAGACTAACATTTCCAGATGCCAATGACATACCCTCTGACAGTCTTCTCTTTCTAAAAGCCTGCTTCTTTCATATAGTTTTTCTTCACTAGATGCAGAAACTGCATTCTGGGGCTTCTGTTGCTTTTGAAAAACAGCATCTCTTTTTCCTCCAGCTACTTTTTAAAAGGCTCCCTTTAACCTTTCACTGAACATACTGACAGCCAGGGTCAGTTCCTCAGAAATTACTTCAATGTATTTTCATTTAAATGTAACCCTCCCAGATTCCTTGCTTCCAATTGCCACCTCTGCCTCAGTAATTGGGGTGGATAAAAAGATAAATAAAAATGCTCAGCGACATAAGTTACACTTACAGCTTCCCTACAGCATTCTTCGGCTGCGTTTCCACATGGCTGATCAGATCAAACTCACTTTGTTGGCTCCTATTTCTTCTGCCTTTGTGCAGCTCCCCAAAGCAGGGCCTTCAAGTCCAGCCAACACCATAGCTAATGTGCTAGAACCTTCCCCAGAAAGAGCCAGCCCTGCTCTAAAGAAGTCATTAATGCAGAGCTAATTAATAAGAGCAAAAGGATTGGCCCAGCCCTGCCCATTGGAAGTTGCAATGAAGGTGTTGCTGGCTTAATTAGCAGGTTTACTTGGGGGGAGGGGGGAAAGCAAAAAAAAAAATCCTTTTTATTTTTAAAGGAGTACATCAAAACCGTTTGGGGATTTTTTCCCCTTTTATTCCTTACAGATTTGTGGGGGATTCATGCCTAGAAGCAGTGTTGGGCACCAGGCCCTCAGGCTCAGCACTTGCTGTGTGTTGGGGTAGCAGCAGCTGTATTAACTAGTGTGGGACAGACACAGGTCTCAGCTGAGCAAACCCAACCTGAGAGCCTGCAGGCCACATCCTCTGTTCAGGAACTCCCACAGCGTGGCCAAACCAGGGCACACAGCCAAACCAGGGCACGCAGCAGGGTGCTGAACCCAGGAGAGACCGAGAGGGACCCCAAAGAGGAACCTCCGCTGCCTCCCCCTAACTCATGGCCTGTGAGAAGATGCTGTAGAGTCAAAAAGTCTCACCACAGCCCTGAGCATGACTAGTGGGGAAGTCCAGATCTGCCACACGATGTTTTCTTCTGATCAAATGCTGTTCCCACAATGTGCTCTTACTTCAAGTTGTCGTTGCCTAGAGTTGCCATAGCAGGGACTGGTGAACTCCAGGCAATGGAGGTAACAAATGGTGTCATGGATTTGAACCTTCTCCCATGCCATTCCCATAGCCACTGTAGCAGAGTTGGTGAGGACCCCAATGACATATACACAAAAGGTCTGCAGCATATCCCATGGATGATCCCCCAGCCTCCATGGCCAGTCCCACTGCACTGATGCCCCCAGGCTGGTTACCAACGTAGTCTGTTCTTCAAAGCCTAAATCTTAACCCAGCTGAAACACAAGCAAGAGCACCCTCAGAAAGGGTGCGACTAGCATGCTGAAATGACAGGCTTTGCTGTGCCATGCGCTGCCAATCTGCCCCGCAGCCACCCGAAGGCTCTAGTTTTCCCAGCTGACTAGAGGTAAGGTTAGTGCTGCAGAGCTACCATTACGGCCAAATGAGAGGCAGTTTTTACAGGGCTTGAGGATAACGGGGATGATTTCAGACTTCCCTGGGCTGTTCTGTGCTGTCGGCAGCCCTGCCTCCTGCTCAGACACCGCGGGGTTAAGCCAAGGTCCAGACTATCCTAACCACACATATGCCCATGCAGCCCGCAGTGTCCAAACCGTCCCATCCTCAGGGTCAGCTCTAAGCACAACACAGGGATATGTCTGAGCAGCTCAACAGCCACAGCCTGCTTGCCAGCTCTGCCACACCGAAGTCCTGGGAACAGGGATGGCAGGTCCTGCCGGTGTCCCTGAGCGTGGTCAGAGCGTGGGGGCAGTTTGTTGCAGAGAAGGACTGGGGACAATTTCTGACCCTAGCAGCAGCAATGTTCTGCCCCTCAGCCCTTCTGTCCCACTAGAAGCAGCAGAAGGTGAATGTCACCCTTCATCTCTTCTTCATCACTGTTTTTAGTGTCCTCAGAGCCTTTCCATGGCGATCACAGGATTTTTGCTTATGCTGCTCAGAAACACTGACATGGCTTCACCCACCTCTCACAGGCACCTGATGGGACGACCAAGTTTCCAAGATGTAGCTGTGCTCTGCGTTGTGCTTCTCACCTGCAACTTCTCTAAAAGACAAACGAGCAGCACTGGTGGGACTGGGCACCCCAGACACATCCATACAAAACCCAGCCAGATGGCACTACGCTACCCCGTGCCTGGGCACTGGGGTCCTAAGTGAAGCACCCTGGGGCTGCACGGTGCAGGTCTGCATCGCCAAGCGAGCTCCACCACCAGAGCTGCTGGTTTTTGCAGCTCGTTGTCGTGAGGACCAACATGCAACTCCAAACAAATGACGGGGGATTCCCTATGCACAGTGATGGGGGAGACATGGATTTACAAATGAGTGGTATGAGGGTTTGTGGGGGCAGGACAGAAGAATTTCCCTGCAGGTTGGTCTTCTGGGCATTTTCCCACCTCTGGAAATGCTGCAGTACTTCTTTGGAGAGCTGAGACATCACACCAGTCATTTCAACAACTGGGGAAAAACTAACTCCTGTTCAAATGCCTTAGGATTTGGCATAAAAAAATACAATTGCTAGCGGTAAATTACAAATTTTATTAACATAGTCTCCAAGGGTCATTCAAACATGCTGAATCACAGGCAGTGTTGGTGGCCTTTAAGTCATCTGCATTTTTGATTTATACTCGCAGCATTCTTGTGGCTTAATTTTTCTCTTGATTACATAAAAGCAATAAGAACTGTATCTGGTGATTTTTTTTTTCTTTTTTTTTTTGGCAATTTGAAGTTAGGCAGCATTGCATGTTATTTCTTCTCTTTTCTGTTCCTCACAGCATAAGTTGTATTCAAGGAAGAGCATTAGTAAAAATGGAGAAAAACAAATTCAATTCTGTAACATGGTGTTACTAAGGCGGCAGATACCAGAAACACCTATGAATAATGCATAAAGCACCTTCTCAAACAAGCTTCTTTATGCAATGAGTTTTAAAGGTGACATGGCGGAATTTGCACAAAGATTTTAAATTTTCACAGTTGAAGCTTTGGCCTTCGGTTTACACCCATTGATATTTTGAGGGCTCATAAGCATCTCTCAATGCAGCATGAAACACGCCTTTTTTATTTTCCATGGCACCTACACATGATGTAGGAGCTTTTCACAGGGAAAAAATGCTGGTTTCTCCTTCAGCGCCACTGAAAGCTTTTTCAGGGTCTTCCACTGGTCCAAGGCTGTAGTGAGAAGCATAGATCACTATAAGATGGGGCAAAAGCACTTTGCTGCTTCAGAGCATCCTTTCTTATTTGTAACGTCAGCAAATTCCCATTGAAATGGAGACCAGAAGCTACCGAGTCCACTGGTTTCAATGGTGCAATGCATACTTTTTACACCAGAGAAGTGTTTACCTTGCTTGCATTCTTCTAATGGATAGGAAAGCACTGTTCAGACCTTATAATGACAGCTGTAGGGTAATCACCATGGGATTCAGAAAAGAGTCCCTCCTTGGCCCCCAATCCTTATCTCCTAGGTAGAGTATGCAGTGGGGGACCATCTACCATTGAAAGATTATTGGTCTTTGGCAAAGGGATGATACTTCACTGGACTACCCTGGGGTTTGTCTAGAGAAAATCCTTTTTTCAAGATAAGCCAGAAGACATGAACTTATCAGTTACACCTGCACAGGGTAATTAACCATATATATTTCATATCTGCCTCAAATTTATCATCTCAATGATCACCTCAGATAGATACTTCAATGTGACCCAAGGAGTGTGTGAGAGGGTGCAGTGGCCCCATGAGAGCTGCAAGAGTTACCTAGTGGTGGAAAGCTTGGTTTGCCACACTGCTGCAGTGTGCCCTTCGTGGGGCCCATTTGTTGTGTATTGGCATGAATTACCACTCCATGGAGGACTGTCCATAAACCCCTGATCCCTTTCTGAGCAATCATTTTGCCGGTTGATCATCATAACCATTTATCTCTACATTTCTTTAAAAGAACCCCACCAGGGTCATGTCCTGGTATTTGATCAAAGGATAAAGCAGATGAGGTATTTCCTTAAGCTGAGATCGCTACGTAACAGTAAGTACCAGTTGCTGAAGTTCTCCAGTGCTCTGGATGTCTGTTCATTGCTACATAGAAGCAGTATCCAGGATCCATTGTTTGATTTTCTGGGGTGAAGTTATCTGAAGCTTGCTCATAGTACAACTTGGGTAGTCAGCACCACAAGCCAATACTACACCCATTACAATCAGTGGCAAATACCTTCCTGCCTCTAAGAAAAATTACATTGGAACTTTTAATAGGAAATTACAAAATGGATTACCTTTTTATTATAAACTTCTTTGTGTGTCTACCTAGAAGCAAAATAATATTAATGTCACAATGGCAAAAAGAAATCTATAATTCTAATGAATCCGTCAAATGAGTTCAGAAGAAAAGACAGCAAGTTGCAAAATTTCTGTGGGCTAAGCAGGAAAGAAAGGCTCTCATTCTGATTTAAGTTACACCAATGTCTGTCAGGAGCAATTCCAGGAAACTACGGGACCACTTTACTATAAAGCAAGAGCCAACAAGAGGAGTCAGACCTGCAACAAGTGAGTGAATAGGTTCTTTGCACAGGCTTCCTCCTGCTGCATCCCCACCAACTCATGCTCCCTGGTCTCCTCGTGGTGACGCAGCCCTGGAGTAAGGACAGCAACCCCAATAAAATGAACAGAGTGCTGTCACAGGGGCCATGGCAGATTTACCAGAAGATTAACCAGAGATACAGAAGGACATCTGCACCAGTCCAGCATCAGAAACATTGATCAATTATGTGCTTAGGAATACTTACGTTTCCAAAACAACAGCAAGGGTATCGATATGAGAAGAATGGGCACCGCTAGGAGACAGGCAATGAGAATGGCATAGCTGGGAAACTGGAAGGGAGAAGAGAAAAACTGAAAAGACTTTAGAAGCATGTTTACTTCAGACCTATTCACACAGGAGCGACTTGCCCTGGTGGCTAAGAGCTCTGAAATATCTGCATTGGGCTGGAGTTTGCAATGCTTTTCTGGGCTTGCCTGTACAAAATATGGAGAAGACACATCAGCTTGATCATGATAAACAACATGAATTACCTGTTAAGCATTTAATAAATCTTCTTCTGAAGCATTTGAGCCTAGATTCATCCCACTTAACATGAACTTCTTAATAAGGTGTCTAAAGTAGGAGCTTAGTCACCCTCATTCTTCTCTCACTTAGAGACAGGGAAGCGTATCGACCCTCCTAAGTTGCCTTTTCCCTGGTCACACCCCGAGGATGCTACCTCTGCCTCTCTTACAGGGTACCAGGGGGATGAGTTTTTTCTGAAGTGTCCAAGCCAGACGGGATGGCCACAGACTTTGGCTCTATCCACTGGAAAGATGAAGAGATGGTTCCTGAGCTTCTAAACAAAAGTTCAAGCTACTGTTTGCAAACACTGTTCCTTTAGTATGAACACATTGAAAATCACTAGCATGTCCTGCTGTCCTTCTGGCTTCTAGTTAAACATTATTGAAATTTAGAGGAAGTCTTACCATATCTTCATTATCTTGTTTCTCAGCCTTGCTGTCTGAACTTGCTGCACTCCCTGAAAATAAGAGAGATATTGAAATTATTACTGGCACAGTCACCTGAAGGAGTGAGGGCCACTGTGGTTGTCACTGCTTTAGTCAAGGAGTAATGAACTCTCAGGGAATGAGGAGGGTAAAATCTGGCCCTGAGCAGGAGAAATAAAGCGCCTTGCAACCAAAAGGGAACAATCTGTTTCCACCACAAATGGTATATCAGGCAGTCATTGCGAAATGTCAGTCTTCATTAAGGAAAGAGGAGCCTTCCCAGGGACAGCCCATGAAGCAAGACAGTAGAAACTTGTCTGCTGTGAAGGAGTTTTCACTTCTGTAAGCATGACAAGATGTCGTAGTGAGCAGAGGTAGTAAACAAGGTGCAAGTCTAAGTGGAGGAACTGCCTCAGTTTAGTTGTGATCAGACTTATGTGTGATTGCAGTTTTTGAAAGCTGTATTAGTACTGCAAACCACAAGAAACATCTCTACGTTCAGATAACTTTTACCACAGATTTAAGAAAGCTCTATGAAGATGATGCTTTTTTTTTTCTATCCAGGGATATTAAGAATAATTCAGTTCTAGTTTTCTAAGCTTTGGAAATAGGGATGAAGTAAATGAATGCTCAAGAACTCTTGGGGCAAACTTTTCTGCTGTTATCCTATAAGCCTGTTCTCTTACTTTTGCTAGTTAATTGGAAGTCACAAAAAGTTAATCTAGGATTGGGCCTTGGTGTGTCGTGACTTCATGCTACAAAGTACTGAAGTATTTAAGTATTTGGAGCACTTGATCTGTCACAGAAAGTGCCCAGTATTAAGAAGCATCTTAAAAACAGAGGAGTCACTCAGCTTAGTGAAACAAAACCTCAGCTTACATCTATGACAGGAAAGCTCCTATGCCTTAGGTCATGCCTAAATGTATAGAAAGACTGTGATGAGTAGTGCTTTCTGAGTTTTGACGAGAGAACAACCATCTGAGCAAAAAGTACCAGGGACCAGATGAGTCATTCGTCAAGGCACATATATATAACACGCTTGCAGTGCCCAAAACCACAGCGAAAGGAAATTTTATATGCATGAGACACCCAGAATGTCACGTGGTGATGGGGGGGATCAGATGGTCACAAAGAATCCCAGTAGAAAAAAAATAACTTTTTTTCTTTTTTTTCAGTTTTTCAGAGTATGCAGTGAATAACCTGATCTCCCCCAGATTTCTCAGTTCTGATCAGCTTTCTGTGAGAGCTGAGTTGATTTGTCTCCATGTACCAAATAATGTGCTTTCATTTTATCATAGACATGCACAGGGCACAGGTAGCTCATATGCATGCAACTGTAGCTAGAAATTTGCACTGGAGTAGAAAAGAGATTATGGCTAATAAGCACCGCAGCTAAACAAATATAGGTAATAAAACCCTAGCAAGTGCTAAAAATCCCAGGGATACGCGAACACTGCATTTTGCCATACGCCTGTTTTATGACACCCCTCTTTCCTTCCCTCAGAAGAGAGAACTGTAGTTCAGCAGAACTACCCCCAAATACACAAGAAGCGCATATCTCTGACACGCACGTCCCACAAGTCAAAATTAAACTTTCTGGCAGCGTGCTGCAGCCTGGCTGATGGGAACAACTATTGCTGCTTACTTTCCATACCTGAAGGAACAAAGGTTCTCTTCGGGGTCTGAAGCATGGGTGGCGCTGGCGGGGTTGTTGCTGGGGGAAAGCAAGTGAAGACAGAAGAAAAACTAAATCAGTGCCTGGTCCGCAGGAACCAACCGCCCCAGCAAACCCAACCCATATGGCAAGAATTGTGCTTGGAGATGGAGGGCTTTCTCAACCATGGGTTTCTCTCCCAGGTACTGTGCTATCATCAATACAGAGTTCAGCAACAAGTTAGCCTTCCCTTACATTACAATAAGGCTGAAGTTGGTCCATTTAGTGCATTATCTCACAGAGTAAAAGGAGACTGAGTCAAGAACTTAACTTGGCTTATGGCTCTTGGAGGCAGTGCTCAATTATGCTGCAACATTTTCACACATTATGACGGTTTGGCTCTCGGAAATCGCATGACACAAGTTTTTGCATAGGTGGGAGTGTACATGACTCACATAAGCACGGTAGGTTTTCTGTTGTTATTGCTCTTGTGGTGGCTCTTTCTAGGCCACAGTCACAACTGAAGTTGCCCCCAGAATCCCAGAGGTAAGAGCCTTTGCAAAACTTGCTATTTACAATGGCAGAATATAGGGATTATCCAGAACTATATCAGAAAGATGACAAGTGAGACAGGGGTGAGAAACCCTCACAAATGCTCAAGAGACCAGTTTAGTCTCTTCTGTGAGTCCTCTCCAGGGGCATTAAGGAACAGTTTCCTAAACTCTATTTCTGCTGTAAGTCTCAAAGGAAGACCTGCGAAAATCAAACACTGTGTTTTTAAGAATGAAGAGATTCTTGGCACTAGTTGAAACTAAAAGGACTCTCTTAAGAGCCAAATATTCAATGTCATCCTTGAATTTTAGCTTTCCTAAGTCCTCATTTGAGGGCATCTGGTGGGCAGACTATCACATCTGGATAACTTGCACCATTCTATTTTTATACTTGACTGAGAGACATAAAGGGAAAACTTCACGTAAGTTTGTTCATTTCTCAGATATGGTATGATCTTGTATACCAATTCCTTTTCTCTTGAAGGAATGACTGATAGTTGTGGTAATTGCCTGCTGCTTTCCATAATGACCAAGGACACACGTTGAACACTGGAGAGTTGAGCCTGCAGCCACATCTGGCTGAATACATTCAGTGAGGTTCGAAGCTCACAACACTCAGGGAGGATTTAAAATGGAAAGCTCAGTGAACTCACAGTGATGACAAATCGGATATCTGAGAATTCAGCTTGGATGGTGACAAAGACCAGTGCCTAACTTCTCTCAGACCTGAGATACCTGACAGTAGTGAGTGAGTCAAAATCTACTTCCTTTGGAGGCTTAAAAACATGTTGTTCTCAGCTATTGTTACATCCTGATTTCAACTTCTGTGTGGACCCCAGATACCTCTTACTTCCAGATGCAATGAATAGCTATCAGTAAATTTGGTACACTCTTAAGAACAGTCAATACTTTGTTTATGACAACTTCTTCATTTCTCTGAACGTGCAACTTCTGACCTTGCAATGTTATCCTACTCACCTGCAGTTGGCACGTCTTCCACCATGAGAGACGTGTGAGCACTTTCAGTTGCCTCTGCAGTCGGAAGTGTGCTTGGGAATTCAGTAGTCACTGAAACAAAGTAAAAAGTAATGCTTATAAAGATCAAGGATTAGGAGGGTCTTCATATGGCATTCAAAATTGCTTGCACAGTTCTGCATCTGCAACTAAGAGTTGAAAATCTGCACCTCAGTTTTCACATCTGCAGCTCATCCTACTCAGATAACTGATGTACTTTACTAGCATGGCCAGCAGTTAGATGTTTGAACTGTTCAGCTGTGGATGTAAATAATTGTTGCCAAGTTTAACTGGGGCACTTTGTTATGGCTGGAAGACAAGAGATGATACAGAAAAGCTGTCCTCAGAGGTTCAGGTCAGAAAGAACTTAAAGTGATAGAAGACCCCAAAAAATGTAGAAAAACCAGCCTTGTGTGCAGACATCATTCTGTGGAAAAGAAGGCACTGATGTGGATAAAGTAGCAACCTAGGAATGGTTAGGATGACAATAGATCACTCTGACAAGTAGATATTAATAATAACAGCAGCCTTGATATGGGATGAAAATGTAAGTACTGAATTTTAAGCATGTTTTGAATTCTCACTAACTTTGTTGCTCAAGCAGAACATGCTCTAAACCAACCTTTTCAGCAGACCATTTCAATCGTCTTTCCCAAATCAAGAAAAAAATTGGTGCATAGTTGAGTGACTTTCTCTTACTCCGTCCCAGGTACAGGACTTTGCATTTATTTCTGTTGTACTTCTTGAGGTTTCTGTCACATTATTTCTCCAGCCTGTTAAAACTTCTCTGAATGCAAGCCTGACCCTCTGCTGTTTTGGCCATTCACCCCAGTTTGTCATCATCCACAACATTTGACCTGTGTTTCTTTAAACCTACTGAGACACACCTATAGGCATCTCGGAGAAAACTTCCCAGATACAAATATAAGTATCATCTGGAGAGTCTTTGTGATGCCAGAGTCAGGCTAACACAGACCATCTCTGCTACAGAAAAAAGAAAGGATTGGTGCTGGTTACCCTTTGTACCTTCAGGAAAAGGGACAGACTCTGACGAGCAGAACATGTCATCATCTTCAGTTTCTGCTTGGAACCCAGTTGGAAAATCTGGGAGAGCACTGGTGGTCACCATAGTTGCTGGAAAAGTATCACTTGCTGTCACAGCAAATGTTGGGGGAGCAATGCTCTCCAGTGTAATCACTGCTGGAGACTCGGTGCTTGCAGTTGTTGCTGGGGGGACGGTGGTTGTCAGGAGGACAGCAGTCTCTGCTGTTGTTTGATGATCAGAAGTTGTCTGGGGAGCAAAAGTTGTTTTTCTAAAACGTTTGGGGGAAACGGGAGCCTTTCTCATGGTGGTTGTCATCACTGGAGGGGCTGCATGGAAAAAACGTAGCCAAGAGAAAAGACAGACCAGAGCATTCACAACCGACCCTGAGGAAATGAATGAAAATTATCTAGCTGCTAAAATACTGAGAATGAAGGTGGGAGAGTCGCTATTTAAAAAGGTTGTTTAATTAGCAGAAAACATGCTCCAGCCAGAGCAATTCCTAGATTTACAGATATGCTTTTTCTTTTTTTTTTATAGGTCTCAAACACCCCCTCCTCGACTCTCTTACAGAAATGGGACGGCCAGAACCTTGCGTGGTAGAACCCCAAAACTTGCAAACTTTGTGATTTTGCTTCTCAATGTCCTCATAAAAATAAAATAAATAAAAGATCTTGTTTTTCACATACAAGCTTCTTGCTAATCTTTTCAACCAGCCCTTTTTTATGAACCCTGTTTCCCTCAAACTCAGGAATAGACATGGGATTGCAGGATTTTTCCCCCACTCTCCTGTTATATTGCTTACAACAGGCATACAAGAGTGCTGTGTACATCAGCACCAATTGCACTCCTGACCACTCTGTAAAAAAGTCAGAAAAAAAATTGTCTTTCTGCAGTATGGAGGATGGGTACCATCTTTTTTTCTGTGCTTTTCAATGTTTTTCAGTCTCTTCTCAACTTTGTACGACCCTTACTTTATCCTGCAGCTCAACAAAATAATAGGTAGGGGAAAAAGTCCTTCAAGACTCTGAGAAAAAAATTTCTAAACATGTGGGTCTCCTTATAACATGAACCAAATGAAAGCCTTTTTGGTGTTGGTGTGAACCCCAAATGAAAAACTGAATTTCATTCCAAGGGCTCTTCAAATGATAAATCCCTTTTTAAATTCCATCATCTTTTAAAACGTCAAATATAGCTACACAATGAGTGTATTGGGTTTGCGTGGCAAGGTTTTGGTAGCAGCTGGGCTACAGGGGTGGCTTCTGTGAGAAGGTGCCAGAAGCTTCCCCGATGTCCGAGAGAGCCAATGCCAGCCGGCTCCAAGATGG